AACAGATTTTGTTTTCAAGTCCACAAAAAAAGTAATATCAAAGAGAAATTTAAAAAAAATTGATGTAAATAAATCCATGTTCAGTAATAGCAATATTCATTTAATGAATATGGATTAACTATGTTAACCAAAGTAATTACTTTCGTTGGAGGTTGATAGCAGATGAAAACATGTTTTTCCTTTTACATAGAAATCGAGGTTTTACCAATATTAATTGGGGTTTAATAATGAATAACAACTTACAAAATTTAACACCATCGGTTTTTTATCATTATTTAGCTATTTTTACCATCATATTTCACAACAGTATCTTATTTATAAAAAGTGACAAAGAGAATGATTTCGTTTTTCTAACCAATTTGAAGAGTTCCGAAAGGTCTAAAGCTACCCGATCTAGAAACTTAATACTTATTGACAAAATTACAGCCATCCAAGCGGAAACTCAATGTGACGCCGAAAGGTCATTTTCGTTCTTCTTCCATTCGTTCGGCGACTTAGAGAAAAATATCGCATTTCCGGTCAAGAGACTCGACTGCGAAAATCCGATTTTCACTTGGAAAGATCAACGCTTATAAACTACAATAGTCGGGAGTTTTCTGATAAAAGCTCACGGTAAAAGGGAAGAGGAACGAATGCGTCTCGCTTTTAATGCAAATGGCAGCTTTCCTCTAAAGACGTAAGGGAAAGCCCTTTCGAAATAACTTACTGCATCGAATAAGAGATTAGAAAATATTCAGTTCATTGAAATCGTCGTGATTTTTCTGCTCAATAAACACAGTGTGGGAAATTTATATTCAAAAAATAACGAATTATTTTTTTAAATTAACAAATTATTATTGTTATTAATTGGTTAATACAAAATTCTTTTATTGACGATTACAGTGATCAATCCCCAAGTTTTTAGAAGACATTCTGCTTTTAATCTAACATTTTGAACAATCAACGTTGTTAAATTCAACGTTTGTATGGCTTATATGATTTTTTGTCTAAATTGCTAGAATGTTAGAACAATCGTGAATTTTGTCGAGTCAACACCTAATCATAATACAAAATCTTTCCATATAGATGGACGGTAAAGACAAGTCAGAGTGCTTTTACATGCACAATTGGCCGGGGCCAATTACTTCTAGACCTTAATTTCTCCATGATATTTGCATAAAAAGGTGCTATTCTACTATCTGACAGTTTAAATCTCTAAAGCAAGTCAATCTAGCTCAAAAGCAATGCAACCCAAAAACAATTATTTAATGTTTTATGTTCTCAGAAACCTATCTCCAATAACACTATAATGGTAACCACCGTAAAAATACTTGAAAAACAAAATGATGATCAGAAGGAGAATGAAGGAGAACTCCATTTCGTGGAGTCATATTAATAATTCCTTCAACAAATTCTCATATTAACTGTATTATGGGTTAAGACAGCAGGCTGTCAGTTAATTATCCATAACACACATCCAGATATCCTGCGGCAAAAGCAGCGGAGCCATTTGATTGTCTTAGTCGGAATGTCCTAGAGGGAACTATAAGACCCCTATCTGGACATTATGGGATAAACAAAGATCTCTACATCAAAGAACTTGGTAATAACACCGAGACGATGAAACACATCATGTGTGACTGTCCACTCTGTAGAACTAATCTCAGTAATAAGCGCTGCATTCTGTCTTGTGAAAAAGATTCTTGGGGTGATTCGGCAAAAAATGTACATGATCAAACAGGATGACGTTTTAAAATCTACAGAGCAAGATATTACATAAACTAATAAATAATATTACTTCAATGACATATTGAAATTACTAAGATTATAGAAAAGTACTAATGTAGAGCAAGAATATCTGAAAAATTAAAAGTGAAACTTCAAAATGGATCTGTTTATTGAAAATTAAATACTTTTATTGATAATTGATGAGATTTGTAGAGAAATTCTTGAAGGATTTTATACAAATCTTAAAGATGATTCAAAAAATCTATTAATCTTAAAAATTAACATTTTCAATAATTGAAATTTTGAAATTAATCTTTTCAAGTTTTACAATAGAGAATAAGCTTTTATGTTTGTGTTTGTAAAAAGAATTGTGTACCTTTCAGGGCAACCTTTTATAGTCTTTGTACTATAAAAGTTCATACAATCGCTTTATTTCTTTCGGTAAATAAATAGGAAAAAAGAACATCTTTAAACGAGATTTCTTTAATAGAAATTTTCTAGAACATAAAATGTTTTATTACATCCATTTTATAGGATCAACATCGGTCTATGGAATTCAAAAAAAAAATTATATTTTAAAAACGCTGATGCTTTAGAGCTTTAGGATATCATCTCCTATTTGTAACAATACAATTTTTACAAGATGTGTCATTTCGATGCAGTACCTGACTCTGAACAGGAGGGGACGATTTTCTTTGCAAATCCGGCTCGCATCTGCAGTTTTACCACGTACACCGAGTTTCTTTTAGAAGTTTAATCTTAATCTAATCCAACGTGGTTCCATTTTGCAGCGCACGCCTCTAACTTGTCCTAGTACAAGAGAATCTTTGAAAACTACTCCCGTTCTTGTTTTCCCGGTACTTTCCCGTTCGAAATTACACATTTCTGTCTTCGAATTTATCGTAATCGAAAATGTAATGCGGATTACCGTCAGCAACAAAGTGAGACATTGACCGGATGATAACAGTTTTTATACATTGGTTGTTCAAGAGAACCTTAATATTGAAAGTTTAAACTAGTTTTTGAAAAGATTTTCTTGATTAACCACCGGATATTTCCAATTTAATTCGAAATTAATGAACTAAGAAAGTAATTTTCAAGGTGATTATAAAGTTCTCTCTTTGAATTTCGTTTTATTTGAGATTTTGATGATAATAATTTTCTACAATTACCGTTTCCGGGTGGAAATGTTCTAGATTTTTTCTCGGTTGGTTTCAAAACAGCAGCGTGAGGAGGGGGTGATGCGGTTTGGACCACTTTAGTTGGAAAGATGCCAGATAGTCCAAGTTTCGTGCTTTATAGTGGTCGAAAATATGCCGTTGTTTCTAATTTATAAAAGGTTTTTTTAAATTAAATTTGCCTCGCTGACTGAATTTGTTCCTTTTATCTCTTTTTGGCAGTTTGTGATAATAAATCAGAGTTGTACACAAATTTGAAACTAACCCAAACCATGTTGCACACAAAAAGAAATAAAAACGAAAAAAAAAAAAACATTTTTTCTTTTCTTTTTAAGCTCAAAACCCCATTAAAATCTAATACCCTACTCGACAGAGCGCTAGAAAACAATTAGAGTTTCTGGTGCGTGTGAAAAACTGCTGACCTATTCCACGCAAATGGCCAGCAGGATCATATCTGCAGGAGAGTAGCGTTATCGATCGGTTTTCTCTCCCCTTTCGTCGCTACCACTGGGGTTGTTGAAACCCCGCCCCATCCCTATTTTCATTCCAACACCGTCAACGAAGTTATACGGGTTAACACCGACGACTATCTACCGAAATCTATTTGCCATAGTCCCCCCTGCTAATATCGCGTGAAGCCGAAAAGTATCGCTTTGTCTGGGCAGCGAGCGAAATAGCTTCATTAACCGCCTTAATTGGACATCTAAGCTATTAGCTTAATGACCCAAAGAAGAACTAATGGGGATCATCACGAAAAAACCTAATATGTAAACGTAAACGAATCAAGACAATGAAACGATTCATTCCTTTTTCTTGCAAAAAGGTTCTTTATTAAAAGGATTTGATCGATTGGGGATAAATATTTTTTGCCACACTTCAACCCTCCCTTTTGTTGCCCCTAAGAAGTCCTCCTTTCTTTCTTTCTATCCCAAGGTTTGTTTGTACAGGAACGAAGAACCGATTGGCCATGAAAAAAATAAAATAAACAACCCTTACTGACGTAAGAGAATCGAACTGATGCCGACGTAGGTTGATCCTTCAAAAAAGGACCCTAGACCACAAAAGAGAAAAAAACGATTTTCAAGCTGACATTTAAAGACCCTACAATTGATAGATTTTTAATTTGGATTAAATTCTTTAATTTTTCTTAATATTTTGGAATAGATGTGGAAAGACTAATTAGGGTAAATCTGCAAGTTTCCATATGGACTCGAGCGAAGTCAAATTAGTGGGACGATTTCCCCGGAAACTGCACGAAACTGAAAAGCTGCTGTGAGTTTATGTTTCTCGAGCTTTCAACTTTTGGTTGAGCTTCGAGGAAGAAAAGGCGCAGAACACGTGAATGAATTAAAAGTTTGCGATTTCATCCTGCGCGTTCTATTTCTAACTAATTGTAAGCCTCGAGTGAATACATAATTACAAGTATGCCTATCCTGCTGGGAATTTCAAAGTTTCCCCCGATGGTTAATCATAACCGGATCACCCAGAATTTAAATTAACCGGATTTTTGTGTAGTTATTATTTAGTTTCAACGTTATTTCATTTATTGTATTTAGAATAGTTTAATAATATAACCTCAAAGTAAATAATTAGTATAATTGCTTTTGTTCGTTAATTAATAATTACAGTTTCGTTTTATTTAGTGAGTTAAATTAAATTCAATTATTATAATTTTAACGTATATGCATAGACACTCTAATTATTTAATTTAATATTTAATCGAAAGAAATTCAATAAAACTGATAAATTAACCTTTTTTTCTGTACGTAAATTCCCTTTAAAAGTTATTTATTAAAGATATCCTTTACCCCGTTAATTTATTACAACTCACAACTAATGAATACTAAATGGATATTGTCACCGCAGGAGAACGATGGAGTTTAACTCACTGGAATAATGCCACCGGGGGTTAAACTGCCAGGGTTTCTGGATTTTCGATATAAATGTTCTTGCGGTTCACCATTTACGGATTGTTTATGTTAGTTGCGATCTCGTTTCGCTTTGATGGTTCAATTTATACTGAGAAATAGTTTACGTCGAACGAGATTTACATCTATATTTCAAGATTTAAACTTATAGTAACAAATAACTTATAGTAATTCACTAAATACATACCTAGAATGATTCCTCGAAAGTAACATTACACCATCAAACGATTGTTTGTCGTAATTTGTCTGTAATAAAAACAGAAAAAATAATTTTCAAGAGATATGATCGATTTAAGTTGAAAATTAGGGGTTACAAAATTCTGTTTGCAATGCAATCTCCTACCACTGTGAACTCGAACCAGTTCGAAATCTGGGTATCAAAAGTACATTAAGCGTTATTTCGATTTGTAATAAAAGATGAATTGTCAAACAACTGAATCCATTTGTTTGTTTGATCCTTTGAAAGACTGAAACCATGAGATCGAACGCATTGAAAATTTAAATGGAATTTCAATTAGTTATCAAATTGGAGATTAAAAATACGGTATCACAACAGTGTGTGCATTAAGCGTGGGGTAATCAGCATTTCGAGAGACATTTGGGTTAACTGTTTCAGAATAGGACTATTAGAGGAAGAGGATGGTTTTAATGCCACTTGAGTCAAGAAGGTATGGTTCAATGGCTCCATTAAAGAGAAGTAAATTACCTAACGTTGCTGCATTTTGCTATCGCCGTCTCTATCTTGTGTATTGGTTTGCGTGGTGAAGCTTTCGTGCTTTGTAGAAGCAGCTGTTAATTAGCCCATTGCTTGACATAAAGTAAATTTACCTATCGATCCAATGTTGATAGTATCTAGATAATTAAACATTAGGCTTGGTAGATATAAGAAATATCATTTTTACTTTTTAATTTTTTACTTTGTAATTGAAATGGCTTGATTATACATAATATTGACAAAATTATACAGTTTGTTATTTAAAAGAAATGATTAAAAAACTACCTGTATATCTCTTTTTTTTCTTTATTGTTATATTAATTAAAAAAGGTTTTGTAGATATGTCTGGTTACTCCTCGTTATTTTCTTCTTGACCATCTACAGTATCTAGGCGATTAACTCCAAAGTGTCATAACAATTACACAATTTATCCAATAATGGTCGTAAACAATCATTACCTTATGGAAATTATCGCTTCAACACTCCGAAACAGTGTATAATCATATTCTAATCCCTTAAGCTGCTTGAAAGCTACTCGGAACGTTCTGTACCTCCATATTCTATCAATATCGTTCACTGCTACTGGATTAAAGTTTTCAAAGATCAAATTTTGACTTAACGTAGCATTAGATTAATGATCTGAATAGTCAGGATTTTGAGCATCAAATTTGATTGCTTTGGTCTTTATGCAACTCCTAAATATCGCCTTTAATTGTTAATTAGTTCCAATGTTGTAATCTTATTGACGATTTAATTCATTGTTAGTGGGAGGATGAGATGTACGAAGCGCCATCGATTCTATTCTTTCACCCTCGCAGAGTCAGCTACATTTTAACCGTAATTATTCTCAATTTCAGCAAAATGCCTTCTGCCGGTTACCAACAAGATAGTATCATTAGTATACAAGAAACGTTTGTCCACCCTCTAAATCAGCGTTTTCTAAACTTTTCTCACCATTTAAGGGAAAATTTATGAATGGATCAAGTTAATCAACAATGCAAAAGAAGGTTAGAAACGCATGGCTTGTATCAAGATGGACTTTCAGAATAATGTAATTTTAACATAAATGGATTACTGTTTTATCCCAAATCCTCTTGACACAACAAGAATAAAAGGCTATAAATATAAAAAAGTCTTTATGTTAAAAGAAATATGTTGTTATTTTTAATGCTCACTATTTTGTTTTTAAACAGCAATATTTGTTGAATTAATTTACAGCAAAATATAACTACCAGTAAATTGTTAATTAATTGTAAAGTTCATTGATTTTCTAAGTGTTCCTGAAAATGGTCAATTTTTACTATAAAACGTTTTAGTTACGAGAATTAAATTAAAACTCTTTACTTTAATAATGTGAAATGTTATGAAAAACGCTAAAGAGGTTAAAAGTTAGTTTGCTGGAAATCCCATTTTTTGTTTTTTTTTGTGAAATGTGAAATATCTCCAGGGTTTAGTAGGGGGAAGCAGTAGGTGTATTATTGATTTATTCAATTGAAGCATAACTAATATGATATTATCGATTAAAAATTATTAATTTAGTACAGTAATATAATTTCTGGCAGTATGAGGATATTATCGGTGAAGCCGTGAGCGCTTTTGAAGTGGGATTTGGAGTAATTAATAAATGATTTCGAGGATTAATAATTATGTAAGTAGATTAGTACTTCAAAATCATATCTAACTAAGGTAATAAATTAAATAAATTAATAAGTAATAGATTTAACTATTTTTGCTTGAAAAAAATTGTTTATTTCATTACTTTGTTATGAATAACTTTATATTTCCGTTAAATTTCTCTCTATGTTTAAATCAGGCCTTAATATCACTAATGCTTTATTAATTTTATGAATTAAATATAATTACTTAACGTAATTAAACGTATTAGATTGTGTAGTAAACTATGCTACGAGCAAGAGAAGAAAAGCTCATTGAGATGGTGTTCATAGAGGTGAATTAGGTTATGATTCACTTTCATACTAAATTTATATGTATATTACAAGGTGTAGTCAATATCATGAGAATTATGTAGATAAATTTCCTGGTTTAAACATTAATAATAAATGAGTTGCATGTTGCTTTTAATAATTCATTTTCACTTCAAAACACGAAGGTATATGTAGGACTTATACATTTTATACTAATGCCTTATTTATTTTAGTTCTTAATTGAATAAATTAAATTAAAACAGACACTGTGCCATATTGATGACTATGATATTAGTATAAAGAATGTCTAATTATGGTAATGCGTAGTGCTTCACGGATGGTTCCCTTTGGAAAGGGTTTCGCCCAGATTATAATGTATAAGTAATTCGAATAATAACGATTTTGCTGTACATCACGACTTCAATCTTTAATCAATCCTCAGGATATGCATAAAAAATCGAACACAACTTTTTTGGACTGTACGAAAAAAAAAACAAAATAGATTACAATTAACGATTTACACTATGTATTTTTTTTTTAATTGTATTTTTCTGTTTGTTGTATACGAGTTTTGAATGCAGCTAAGCACAAATAGCGTCAGATGTTCCGTATAAAACTCTTCTCACGTAACAAGGCCATTAAAAGTTTTTGAACCTACCATCAGAGTGGTGTTACGCTGACGCTGGTGGTAGACGACTATTGTCACAGGAACAGTTATAATTAATGTTGTTCCTCGATTTTTCCACTTGAAACATTAAAATTGTTTAAAGTTTGAGAAAATTCATGCTCTTATTGGAACACAAAGTCTTTTTTGTGTTTATTTTTTGTTTCGTGATATTGAGATTTAAATTTTAAACCTTAAATACTGCATAAAACGAGCACGGTTGGTTGAGTTTTGGCTCTGTTTCCAGCAAATTGGTAATTTTATCTAAAGTTCTAGAACGAACATTGATCGGGCAATTGAATTTGAAATGAATTTAGAGTACTGCTAATTCCCATCGGAGCTGGTTCGTATTAATTGGGATTGTAAAGTATTGTTACGCGGTTGTTATGTAAATCTCTTTGTAGTACGCGAATTTCAATATCATACCTTTACGTATTTACCAGTAATTTAATTATTACCAAAATTAATTAATAGCTATAAAAAAGAACAATTTATTTGTTATAACGTTTTTATTTGTAGTAAATTTTTCAGATACATGTGACATCTTGAAACATCTCACAATTTTAACCAATGACACTACTGTGAAAAATGGGTCAAAGCGGTCAGAAAAGGTCATACATTGCACACCCCCTGCACTTAACTCGTCAGGCGGATATTGCTTTTATAGAATGAGAGCAAAAGGGCATACACACGACAGACAGGAAGTACGTTTTGCACATGGCACTGTGGTCACCAGCAAACGGATGAATTGCATTTTTTCGAACGGTCACACTCAATGGGTTCGCGAGTTCGTGTTGCCAATATTAAACGTTATGAGCTGCGCGTCCTCGTTCGCGTTATCATCGCGAAACGAACCCTCCGTCAACCAGTAACCCTTTTGGAAAATTTCCCGGCCATAACAGGGCTTACTTTACGATGCGAACCTACACTCTGATAATTAAAAGTGGCACATATTTCTTTGGTAATTAAAATCCACTGCTATGGTTATGCTGTGGACTTTTCCGCTATCTGGTTGTTGTGGTTTATTGGAACGCATGATATATTGTTTGGGGTGGTTATGTTTGTGATACTGTCCGTTTTCATATTTGGAAAATGCACAGGTATGAATTATGTATAAAGATAAATTTTGCTTGAATCCTAGATTTTAATTTTTCAATCAATATAAATTTTGGGGGTTATTAAACAAATTAATTTTGTTTTGAATAGTTTCGGATTTGTTTTGTGTTGTGAATTTCCTATCCCTAGTTTAAGCAAACGAACTCTTTCAATAGCGACGATTTGAGAGTGTATAATTTTTTTAGCTGCAAAATGAAGCAGCTGCAGACTTAAATGGAGACTTTACATGATACGAGAACATTGACCAAAAATTTTACACGACGTCCTAAAAGAGTTGTGTGGAAGGTATAGCAGAGAAATAGTATTGGTAAAGTATTCACTGCAACCACATAGCTTCGAACATAAATGTTTCCCACTTGGGAGATCGACTGCTTGTGGTTTACATGAGATTTTAGGCTGCGTTGACAGATCTTTCTACCGACAGGAATCCACTCTTGGAGTGTTTATTGACACGTTATATTTGACGCGCACTATAATATATTGATTGCCATGTAGTTTTAAAGTTTTTGCATATTTAATCAAAAAAAGTCAGGAGTTTCGAAGGATTTTTTGTTGTTTATATCACTTCCTGTGCGGTCAATTTTTACAACACAAGGAAACAAAAACTCCCATTTCCCGAGAGATGTGAAACATTTTGTCGTGAAAACCGTATATATTTCCTAGCGGTACTAGAGTTTTTCCCGTAATCCATTATTGTACGACCCGAACGTCGAGTCCAGAAAACTGCACATTGCCCAGTTTCCGTGCGATGAGTGTCCTGGTGATAATGATTTAGTGAAAACGATTCTATATTTGAGGTAACGTTAACTCGGGACAGGTGTCCCTT